GGGAACAGTGGCTGAAATGGTTCAGTATATATTTGTAAATGTTACGAAGACTTTCTAGTTTATGAAACTACGGACTTCACATATTTTTGTAACATGACTCAGTATGCAGAAGATTTTGATTGTAATTGACAGCATTATGAAAATTGACTACAAAAACTGAAATTAAATTTGAATACTTTGTAACTATGATACACTTACTTTTCAATATATTCAATACCCCTGTGAATGTGACACTAATACTGAGCTGGTGAATTTCCTTAATTTGGGTAGATACAGTATTGAAAACAACATGCTTTTATTTCCTTTTTTTGTTTGTTTTTTTTGCAGTTTTTGGCTGGGGCTGGGTTTGAACCCACCACCTCCAGTATATGTGGCCAGTGCCCTACTCCTTTGAGCCACAGGTGCCGCCTAACATGCTTTTATTTCAAAGTCAAATCAATTCTTCTAAAAAAAAGATGAACGAGTTTTGTCAAAGTGTGTGCAAATATCAAAGAAAAAAATTTTTTGGTATTCAGTTCCTTACTGAAGTACTTCTGCATATGTGGGAACAAATTCAACCATAAATTTTTTGAAATCTAAGTTCAGTTGGAGGGTTTTTAATGAAAATTTAGTGTCTGAACTAAGATGTGCTACCAATGTGAAATATACATCAGACTTTGAACAGTCAGACAGAATGAAAATATATATAAAATATCTTCTATATTGATTATATGTCAAAATGATATTTTAGATTTATTCAGTTAAATAAAATAGACTATTAATTTAATTATACCTGTTTTTGTGCTTATTTTAATGTGGTTACTAGGAAGTTTAAAATTATATATGTGGCTAGCATTCTATTTCTGTTGGACAGGGCTAGTCTGTAAGATGATCTTGGCTTGAAAGCCTTCATTTCTTGTTCAGAACCAAGACTAGGCTCTGCAGGAAGCCCTCTGCGCCGAGGGCACCCAGTCACACTAGCCCACAAGTACTATATGGTTCAGAACCACCCTGGGTTAATGTGAACTGTTCTCTTCTAGCTGCAATTTTGCCCTATAACGAGGCAGATCTCACTTCTAACTCTCTAGAGTCCTTCCAAGCCAGACAAACTGACAAAGGGAACCATCATCTCCTTGAACTACTATAGACCCCCGCAGGACACCCAAGAGAATGAAGGAAGATAGGGAGAATGATGACAACCTCAAACCTGTGCAAGTCATGCCATCACTCACAAGGTTCCATCACAGGTCACATCACATACCTCCAGGGGCAAAGGATAGATTTTGTCACTACCATCCATCCCTATTTTAAGGGTGGGATGCTGAGATTCACAGTGGTATTGTACAAGGTCACAGATATCTACCCAGACCTGCCTTGACTCCAGCTGCTTAATATGCAAATATAGAGAACATTATTTTTTATAGCATCCTCTGCTTCTGAATTATACAAGCAAACTTCTATCTTTATCTTTTTTTTTTTTTTTTTTTTTT